CCTGACTGCCTTCTTCTGGAGCCGGAAGAGGAAAGATGTTTTCCCACACTCACACCCCCTAATATGCCGTGCGGAGTAACTCAGCCGTACCGGTACTCCGTAGACTCATAAGTGGGGTCAAAAACAGCCAAATGAAAATATTGTATCGATTATTGGATTATTATACCAAACTTTGATATATTGAATGAAATAATCTATATATCGATCGATATATTCTTTCTGTTGTTTTTACCCTACTTATGAAAGTCTACCCGTGATAAATCTTTGATCTATTCCCTATTTGGAAGGACCATATACTTAGACCTAGGCCAAATTTAATGTGCAGTAACTTAACTTAAGGCTACTTACCATACTGGGTTATAGGCCTAAAGGCTGTTAATAATATAGGCTAATCAATGTTACTTGCAAGGAAGGGGCGAGAGTGCACAATTATCTCTTTGGCTCATAGCGTGTCACATGCAAACGGCGGGCTTGCGTCTTCATCCATCATAAGTAGTCTATGATCATTGACTATATAACACTATGATCCATATAACGCTATGATCCACTACCTGGGGCTCTACCTTTAAAAATATCTGACAAGGCCTACTAGGCCTGTTAAAAAAAAGTTTAAATAGATCTATAGCCTACACCTGGCCCTACATGTACACCATCTACCCTGTGATGTAACGGTTTTCACGGAGCTTAGTTCCTTGTGCGCCCTTGTGTTGGACCTTATTTTGCGATATTATAAATGGATGAAGAAGAACGAATTGCGCGATTGTTAGCTGGAGTTGAAAGGGAGGACAGGGAACAACATTAAGTGGAAAGACCTACTGGTGCGATTGTTCGGGAACTTATTTTTTTCAGAAAGAATGTCTTTAACAAAATGAGTAGGCCTACCTACGGTATTCCTTCTAACAAATGATTTTTTTTTTTGTTAGAGACCACTGTTCAAAAGTTATAAAGAATTATGTTATTTTCCCATTAAAAAAATTATAAAATAAGAGAAAATCGTATTTTTGAAAGAAGCCGTTTTTGATTGAAATTAGTATGTGATGGTCCTTATAATTCCTAACAAAATAGTGCAACCCCCCCAATTCCTGTAAAAATTATGGTTCAAAAGTTAAATGCAATTTTTGTGATTTTACCTATTAAATATCACCCCATGATAACAGGTTGTTGACAAGCTTGAAGCTAATGGGAGAAAGTATATGTGTCAGATTGCTGATACCGTTTATTATTGTTTATTATAACATTTTCTTGATTATATTAGGCCTATAACTGTCCCTGCTGATCACACAATATTTTAATTTTATAAAATAGGAGTAGTTAAATTTAGCCTATAAAATAAGTTAATATTTTTTAAATATATAGGCTATATAATGCATAATGAACATTGGTTAAACAAATCTAATATTAATGTATTAAATAAGTTAAGTGGTTTTAAAGTAGCTGACTATTTTTGTAGAGACAGAAAACTTAGAGGAGGCTCAGCTCTTTTGTTATCTCAAGAAATTGAATTTAAAAAAAGAGATGATCTCAAGTTTTTAAATGAAGAAAATAATTTTGAATGTAGTTTTGTAGAAGTTTGTGAATGGAATACATTATTTATTTCAATCTATCGTATACCAAATCTGGACATTGATGACATATTTTTTGAGAAATTTGACTGTCTTTTGTCTAAACTTTGGCATGAGTCTAAGTCAAAAAACATTTTAATAGCTTCAGACCATAATATCGATCTTCTAAAAAGCAATAACCGATCAAGAAGTTTACAATACCTTTGTTATCAGTTTGGGTTAAAATATCACTTTTTTCAACCAACAAGAATAACTCCAACCTCCAAAACTTGCATTGATAACATATTTTCTAACATGAAATTGATTTCAGATAAAGCTGAAACCCAAATTATCAATGCAGGTGCATCTGATCATGAAGCAATACTATTATCACTAGCTGACTTAAAACCACCCCCCTCAGCTTTAAAAAGATCAAATGTTTCTTTTAAAAGGTCATTTAATTCAGAAAATTTAAATTATTTCAAAAATAGTCTTATTGAAGCAGATTGGAAATTTAATCCTTTTGAAACTGTAAATACAAATTATAATAGCTTTTTAGATTGCATCCTGAAAATTTTTAATCAAGCTTTCCCTCTTAAACAATCAAAATGTAATTCTGTTAAACATGCATCCAAAAACTGGATTACACTTGGTATAAAAATATCCGCTGAAAGAAAACGGCTTCTCCATATTGAGTCAAGATGGAATAAGTCTAAGGACTTCCAAGATTATGTAAAAACATACAGGCAAATATTCAAAAAAACAATTGAACTCTCTAAAAAGAAATACAATGATCATTACATTAAAAATTCTCTTAATAAGACCACAGCAACATGGGAGATTGTTAAAAGGGAACTTGGACAACAAAAGGAAAAATCAGAATTACCTTATCATGTTCAAAACGATTCCTTGAAACTTACACATTTGGCTAATAATTTCAACAACCATTTTCTATCTGCACATACATCAGTAGGGTGTAGTCCTAAAGCCAAAGAGGCTCTGAATTTTATAGATTCAAAGTACTACAAAAATACATTTAAATTCAAACTAATTACCGAATCAGAAGTAAGGAAAATTGTATTTTCCTTAAATAACACAAGATCTGTCGGTTGGGATCAGATTCCATTGTTCTTACTTAAGCATGTAATAGATGAAATACAAACTCCTCTCTGTAATCTCATAAACCAGTCCTTAATGCACGGTATTTTCCCAAACAAACTAAAATATACTCCGAAATTTTACCACTCCATAAGAAAAATGATAAAAACACTTTAGAAAATTACCGCCCAATAGCTATGCTCTCAAGTATATCTAAAATATTCGAAAAATGTGTTGACCTACAATTGAGAACTTTTTTAGAAGATAATAATATTTTTAATGATTCCCAATTTGGATTTAGAAAAGGATTAAGTGCTCAACAATCAATGACTAAATTAGTAAACTGTGTTGCGAGTTCCTTGGATGGATCTCAGAAGACAACTGGAGTTCTGTGTGATTTAACCAGAGCTTTTGAATGTGTTCATCACAGTTTGTTAATAGACAAACTTGAAAAATATGGAATAAAAAACAAGGAACTAAATTGGTTTTCTACATACTTGAGGGATAGATATCAAAGGACTAAAATTATCAAATTTGGACATACTATAAATTCTAATTGGGAAAAAGTTGAAGTAGGGGTGCCTCAGGGATCAATATTGGGCCCCTGTCTATTTCTTATTTATGTAAATGACCTACCAAATGTGTTAAAGATGGATGTATTTCAATTTGCTGATGACACAATGCTGTTATGTAAGGGACCCAATGTTGAATCCCTTCAGCACACAGTAGATACAGAATTGGCCGCTTTAAGTGACTGGTTTAGAGTAAATGGGCTCTCCTTGAACATGGACAAGACTCAAGTAGTTAATTTTCGATCAGATCATAGAAATAGTTTAAAACAGACCACTTTTACACATCATCAGTTAATGTCTGAGGAGACAGTCAATTTTTTGGGTATTCATATAAACGAAAATCTTGACTGGCTTCCTCACATTGACAAACTACGGAAAAAACTTTCTTCAGCAATATTTTCTCTCAAAACAATTTCTCAAGTTACAGATACTAAAACTCAATTAACAGTTTATCATTCATATTTTTCATCATTAATGTCATACGGAATACTTGTCTGGGGAAATTCTTGCCATGGTAAGAAGATATTTAGGCTTCAAAAGAAGGCACTTAGAATCATAGCTAAAGTACCCCGAAGAAGTCCGTGCAAAGTCATCTTTCAGGCTTTTAGCGTTTTGACATTTTATGACCTGTATATTTTAGAAGCATTATTTTGGGTATTCAACAATTTGTCCATTTTCAGGGAGGGTTACACTAACCATAGGTATAACACTAGACATAAGAACCTAATTAAGCCTACTAGCCATAGATTATCACTATTTGAAGCATCACCTCAATATATTGGACCAAAATTGTATAACTTGATTCCTGATCATTTAAAAAACATTGCAAATCCAAAAAAGTTCAAACAAAAATGTAAAGAATGGTTATTGACAAAAACATTTTATTCTTTAAATGAATTTTTAAGTGGAAATTGGGAGGGTTAAGTGTTGAAATTATTTTATTTGGATTTATTACTATTTAAGTATTATAATGCATTGACAAATGTCCTGTCATTTTATGATGTAATGGCATTCTGTAAATAAATAAATAAATAAATAAATATAAGTTAAACAACAGAAATGTAAAACATTGATGATGAATTTGTATAACCTCAAATTATCTGGTCTTATTTTGTATTGATTAGAAGGTTATTCCCTCAGTATTATGAAAATATTTTTTCATCACACGGAAAGAAAAAGTGTCTTTTTGGTAGGCCTACTGTACTTTATTGTTTTTCCAAGCTCGGCTCCGCCTGTTCTCTTTTTCTACGCCTCGCTTGTAGAGTGGCGGACCCAGGATTTCATTTGGGGAGGGGAGGGTTGTGATGAGTATGTGATATCCCCCAGAAAAAAGGGGGGTCCGGGGTTCCTGCCCCCTGGAAAAGATGTGGAATTTAAAGTCTATTGTTACCTACGTATTTGAGCCCTAAAATATGCTCAAACTAATAGTATTTTTGTTAGCTAATAAAATATGAAATAATTCGGGGGGGGGGGGTATCCCTCCCATCCCCCCCCTGGGACCGCCACTACGCTTTATGACACTAAAATTGTGTACCGGTACCCGGTACCAAAAAGAGCCACTTTCGCTCTTAGTGCTGAAATACACTATTGCAAAGTTACTATTCAAGTAAGCCAATTTTATAATCTTGGCCATGTTAAAATGCTTAATTTAATAGTTTTCCATGTTTACAACTATTTATGATACAAAGTTAGTCTGTAAAACATTAAGTAGATGATAATAAACAATTTAAAGTTATCTGGATTTGTTTATTTCCTTGATAACAGCATTAACAGTTGCACTGTGTTGCAGATAAGACCAATGAGCTGTAACGTCTCAGTGTGATGTTTAATTTTGTTGTGAGAAGTTTGCCAAACGTCGTCTCACAGAACATTATCTCCACTGTATTCCGTGTTGGGTATGTTTCAACATTTACATTAATCTTTTAGGTTATGTGTAGGCCTAATTGACTATTTTATCTCTAGTTTTACCATAGTTATGTTTCATTACAAACTAACCTAAAGTTACCCTATTTTAGTAGCTAAATGAACTTATTACGGATGTAGGCCTACAATTATGTATGAGGTACTAACTTATTGGTTGTGTGGAGAACTTGCTTATGCAGCCCAGTCCAAAATTATGCTAGTTAGTGCTAATGTTACTTGTAGCCTACTCCTAAATATTACCATTCCCGCAGTCGTAAATCATTTTAACATTCATTGCCAAACCCTGTCCTACTCACTAACGTTACGTAGAAATTAATTTCTATTACTTCATTTGTTAATGTTAGATTTAGTTATGTTTAGATAGGCCTAAGTTGTTTTATCTTACCTAAAAAAAAATTACATGACTGGTGGGCAGAACTTTCATCCTGATATGATTTATTCCCAATTGGTTCAAGGGACGAATCCAAACAAATATGCATAAAAACTAAGCTTTTGTTGGCAGTAAACATATCTGTTTCTTATTCTAAACCAATTGTGTTTTCAAGAAAAAAACATATAACTTCATCAAACCAACATTAGGAAATTGAATTGAAAATAATACCCTACTTGTTACATACTTGAGGGAATTTTAAAACGATGGTTAGTTAAGAGTAGAAATTCACTAAATATTCTAGACAGTATTAATGAATTAAATGCTTTGATGATTTAATACGACTCAATAGGCTTTAAATAAAATACTTGAGTCTTATCAACCAGTCTCTAATCAGATGTTTGACTGAGCGATTAATCAGACACACTTGTCTCAAACCGAAGAAACCATTTCATTACAGTTTTTACTGGGTTAGCTTGTTTAGTTTCTAAACATGTGTTATTTTTAATGTGAAGTAACTCGAGTGCTTCAATGTTAGTCGCACTGGTGACTTGTGTTTTGTGTTCCAGTGCCTGGGCCGCTGTCAAGCAACGAGGGGAAAAGTTCCATTCTATCCCTAGGTTGGTAATACTGCCCGGGATGGACGTCAAGATCATACCTGCGTTGCAAGACAACTACATGTACCTGGTGAGTGAAATCTCAATACTTAAATAATTTTCATTGAAATGGCGACCATAAGAAAGTAGGTATTTTAAGCCAAGTATGAATGGAGATAGTGTAGGATGAGTGGCGCGATCTTGTAGTCTTGTTGGTGACTAAGGCTGACATATCCCTTGGACACAGCTGTTAATTAATAGCTCACACAGCCAATGGCTACTAAGGAGCCTACAGTTTATAGTGGAATCCGAACCACATTTTTGCCTGGTAATTAGTCTAATTATCAGGATAGTACTGCGGATACTTGTAGTAGGCCTACTCACTAGTGTGCCATGGAGCATCGCATCCACAGTGCATGCCTATAAATATCCACAATTCCACCTCCTAGTAGTTGTATTACAGGACAAGGCCACCGTCCCAGTCTGACAAACAACCTCAAAGTTTTCCTAAAACGGTCGTGATCGGCTTGGTAAAGCTTTGAAATGTTTAGTGTGAACAGTGTCAGATCCTAGTTTGTATTTGTATACTTTCTCATTTGAATGGAAGTTCAAATAAGTAAATTTAAATCAGTTTTTTATTTAGCTACAAACCGATATTTTGGAGTTTGCCAAACACCGCTGGCGCTTCCCTGCCTCGTGGAAAATTATTGTTAACCTATATTATATATCATGATTGATTGACAAGGTAAGTTGTTATTATTACATTATATATGTAGGCCTATGTAAATTTCTCATTAAATTAATTCAACTATCCTACTTGTCATTAAAAAAGGGTAACATATGTTTTCAAACTAAAAGTGTGATTATTAGGATATTTTTTTATATACGATTCAGAAATTTTATGTTTTTCTTCTAAATGTAAACCTACATATTTATCTTGATTGTAGGTGTGAAAAGATGTTTAATTTTTTTATGGAATGGAAGAAATAATCAAATAGGCCCTACAATTTAAACTAGGTTACCGTACTCATCTTCTAAATGTATTATTATTTTTAAATTTGTTTAATAATATGTTTCTTTTTACATCTAGACACCTAGGCTATGCAAATAGATGGAGATCATTCCAAAAGTAAATTATATTTTTTACATTTCTGATATGCTGAAAAATAATATTTTTATCCTCATATTGTATAAAATATGAGTAAAGATTTTGAAACACCTTGATTCTATCTAAGTGAGTGTTGTAAAGATGTGCAAAGTACATAAGGCCTACATTGATGAAGCTGACTAACATGTGAAATACAAACAAACAGCTGATGTGTTTATATTGCCAATCAACTCCCAATCAACCCAAGCTCAATGTTGACTCGACAAATCAACTCGTATTGGCCCGCTCTGGTAGCTGATAATACAGGAACCGGTACCAAGTCTCCAAGGCTGAATTGTGCGAATTTCTATTACTAGTTTGTCTATTCAATATCTTAAATAATGTGTGCACTAATATTAAAACGTGGCAGAAGGGAAAGGATATTTAAACTATTTACATTAGGTACTAATGAGATGGGTTCATTATGGATTATTGCTTGAAAAAGGAGAAATTCAGAGAGAAAATGTACAAAAAATGCTAGCCTACATCAATAACTTTTTTAACTATACACATAATAATGTGAATGTTTTTAAAAGTTTAAGTAACACGGTAACACCTAGGCTACATTAAAACATTTTTTTTTAAAGATATTATTTTTCAAAGCAAAATCTTTAACATCATAAAATGAATATAAAAATTTCAAATTCCATCTAAAAAGAAACCAAGTTTAAATGGTTTTTATTTTATGCAAGACTAGATCCCAACATAATAAATTGAATGAATTAAAAATATCTTTAAAATAAAAGATGTAAAAATTACAAATTTCAGTTGAAAACTTTTTAAAACAAAAGAACTCGGTTAATTTCGGGTTTACCATGCCAATGCTATATTTTCAGACAGTCAAAGGTTTATACCTTTTGTTTGTCATTTGGTTTGTACAAAGTTGATGAGTTTACTATATATGTACTGGGATATTCAAAAGTAGGCCTACTGTTTTCTTAGACAGATTGTTAAAAAAATAGAAAAATAATTCATTATGTGTCAATTTTTTCTAGTTCACCTCTTCCCATTGCAGGAACCATTCATCATAGGTACCATTATTTACGCACCAGTAGTAAAAAATCTAATACTTTTTGGATATCAGGATTACCAGAGTTTAATCTGGCTCAAGAATAACAAAACTAAAACTTTACGCTATTCATTGTCTCTAGGTCTGAAAATAGTCAACTCATAATTTTTTTAGTTGAAAATGCTGTTAGTGAGTGTGAAATATTCTAATGTTTTGTATTTCTTGTGACAGATTTGACTCTTTTTTCATTCTGGTAAGCCTACCAACCTGAAAAGAATCATAAAAACATAGGTCTTGTGCCCTATGTGCAATACCATAAAATATATTATTTCATACCATCATTGTCTTTTGAATCTCTAAGTTATACTGTAATAACTATTCCAACTTTTACTCATCAGATAGTGGACAACGAGACTAAAGAAGCGGCCGTGGTGGACCCAGTAGAACCTGAACACGTACTGGCAGAACTGAAGGGGAAAGATATCAAGTTGACTAAGATCCTCACCACACACCATCACTGGTAAGTGGGTTTGTTGGTGGTCATGAAACATGAAACTTATATGATTTCGATTTCCTATATAAATAGTTGTCAAAGTTTGCATATTGCTTAGGTAAGGTTCGATTTAGGTAAACTTTAGAACATCTTCCGAGGACAAGGTTGAAGAATATCTTTTCCTATACTGGCCAAAACGAAATGTTGCAGTCTCGGCCAAGATAATATTCTATTGTTACAGCAAAATCGTGGACACCTTCTGCGGTCAAGGCAAAACTAAGAAAAAATTCTGTGGTGCCTGCAAAGTTATGGTCACCTACCGCGTTCACAGCAAAATCAAAAGAACATCTTCACCAGTCTTGGCAAAATTGAGAATACCTTCTGCGATCATGGCAAACTTGTGGTCTTTTTCTACGGACACAGCAAAATCAAGAACATCATCTGCGGTCACGACAAAATCATAAATGTCTCTTTAAAGAAAAAATTCTGCGGTGCCTGCAAAATTGTGGTCACCTACAGCGGTTTCACAGCAAAATCAAAAGAGCATCTTCACCTGTCTTGGCAAAATTGAGAATACCTTCTGCGATCATGGCAAACTTGTGGTCTTTTTCTACAGAACACAGCAAAATCAAGAACATCATCTGTGGTCACGACAAAATCATAAACGTCTCTTTGGACAGGAAAATAAACTCATCACTGTAACTAATTGAAAATAATAATCGAATGAAAGAAACAAATTACCAAATTAAAAGGCATACTTGTTCTAGCACTTTGAAAGTAGTCAAGAAGCCGCATTAAGTCTCCTAATCAAAGTTTTTGTTTATCGTGTAAGTAAGCACTGTTCTATTTCCTTGATTTTATTTTATTTATCACTTTCAGGCGTATAATTGTAGCTTTGTGAAGTGTCAGAGGTAATTTGTGTTTCAAAATGACATTTGAACGGCCTACAAATGTCGTCCGGTCGAGTCGAATCTGATCCTAAAATACTTGCAATAGCAAAAACTTTCTGTTTATTTCTCTTTGTGTGTATATTTGATCTGTAAATAGTCGACAAACATCGCTCAATGTGATATCGACATCCTAAGATCTCCGATAGTTGTTGATTAAATGGTTCCGTGTACTGCACCTGAATGTCAATAAAAACCTATACTCTTTCTCTTTGTCATTGTCAAACCAACATTGTGCTGCACAAACCCAATTGTAGAGTTACCTTTAACTTGTTAAAGCCAGTTTGCGGTTTTTTAGGATTGTACATTTACCAATGTCCAACAACAGTTATGTGAGTTTACATTTAATTGTTGTGTGTGATGCAGGGATCACGCCGGAGGCAACAAGAAGCTGCTGAAGGCCTACCCCGAGCTGCCTGTGTACGGTGGGGATGAGCGGGTAGAGGGGTTGACTACCAGGGTGGGAGACGGTGACAAACTGTATATCGGTGAGTTTTTTATTAATTCCAACAAGTTAGCTATTTGACCGTTAATTTCTACTTGTGTAATCGTTGCTAGTTTTATGGCTATTTGTTATATGACAGGGGAAAGGAGTGAGGACCCATCGGGTTGGGTAAAAAAGGGTGTGAATTCACATGTTCATTCGTCACATGTGTAGAGGCTCCGTCGGGTTGAGGGTTCTAGTTTCTTAGTATTTTGGGATTTCAAACGCGAGGGTTGTAAACACAACATTACAGAGGTTTTTAGACACAGTTATAAACGTTAAAAATGGCTTTAAAAGGTCACCATCGGCTTTAAAAACTAAAATTTTCTCAACAAATTTTCTGAAGGAGCAACCCCCAGAGCCCCCTTCTGGCGTCGGACAACCCCTTAGCCCCCCCCCCCCCCCCCCCCGACAAGGTCCTAGAACTGCTAAACTGTTCTCCAACAACTGTACCCTGAGTAACTAGCCTAACCGTTACTTTTGTTTGTCTCAGATGATTGTTCTAATGATAACTGTTACTTGTGACAGGTAACCTAGAGGTGGACTGTCTACACACACCTTGTCACACCAAAGGTCACATATGTTATGTGATCAAGCCCAAGAATCAGCCACAAGCTGTCTTTACCGGTGAGTCTATCCAATCTCAGATTATACTCTCAATTTTTGAAATTAATATGAACATAATTGTTGTTGAATGCAACAAAAGACAGACAGATAAACTACTCATTCATGTATTTTGATTCAGTTAACCTACTCATATTGATTGGCTTAAGTCTACTGACATTTGTCAATAGACTGAACATTGGATTATTCATAATTGGTTTGATGAACAAAGTCAATGTCTTGTAGGTGACACACTGTTCATCGCTGGCTGTGGCAGGTTTTTCGAAGGCACGGCAGACCAGATGTACAGCAACCTTTATACAAAGCTTGGATCACTTCCCAATGATACAGTGAGTGTATAATTTTATGAAACATATACATGTAGGCCTATTGTTATAATTGTACCTTTAATGTTATTTTGTAGCCTATATTTTACCTCTCCATTTCTAAACAATGTTTCTCAATTTTTTTTTTTTTTTCAGAAAGTCTTCTGTGGCCACGAATACACATATGCCAATCTCAAGTTTTCTGCGTTTGTTGACTCAGAAAATCAGGCAGTGAAGAAAAAGTTGGAATGGGCAGAGAAAATGAAAATTGACAGACAGACGACAGTGCCTTCTACAATTGGTAATTGTAGAACTAGAAATGGATTTTAAGAATGTTGTAAAATGGTAAAACCGTTAATTAAATTGAACTTTTTTTCATTTTGGTTAAGCAGAAATTTACTTTTGGATATTATTTTTTACCATGATCAACAGCCAGACAATAACAATAAAAAAATCCGATATTTTTGTTACCTAAATTTTTATATAATGTCCAATCCAAGCTATGATATTGGAAACTGAAAATTTGTGTTTTAACCATCTTTTGAGTGGTCTGACTTACGGGAGGTATGAATGAGGCATCGATGACATCATAGTTTAGTTAAAAATTCCTCCGTGAACAGCGCTGTAGTTGAGAGCACTTTGGCTATAATGAAGGTTTACTAAAAAAAAAATGGTTCTGTTCATAAAATAAAATTATAAAATGCATTAGATTCAATTTTTTAATTATAAAATTAATCGGTCATAACCTAACCAAACTAACCAAACTTGCTGATAATGAAAAAATCGAATGAAAGTTTACTAATTGAAAAAATAATTCTGTTCATAAAATAAAACTAGAAATGGCTCAATTTCAATTTTATAATGATTTTAATTATAAAATTAAACTGTCATAACCGAACCAAACCAAACAAACTTGCTGATAATGAAAAAATCTTAGACAAAAAGTTAGTGCTACTGGTGGGATTCGAACTTGGCATCTTCAGTTTATTAGCCCGGCACGCTAACCACTAGACCACCGAGGCCGATGGCTCCACACCGTATCGTTGCGCTAATGGTGTTCCCTCAGCTAATCAGAAGCCTCCAAATCGTCATCGTAGGCTCATCTATACCTCCTTTGAGTAAACACCATCTTTTGAGGATGTTTCATTGTGTTTGTTGTTTCAGGGGAGGAAAAGGAAACTAACCCCTTCATGAGGGTGGACACGGCACCCCTCCAGTCTCGGGCGCAGACGACGGATCCTGTAGTGACAATGGCGTACATCCGCAAAGAGAAAGATAACTTCAAGGCAGGTTAAACTATCCAACGGCCTAGTATTGGGTGGATATGTTAAGAGGCAGTTGAGGAAGGAGAAGGAGGCGAACAAAATATTTTCTTCTCCTTTATAATTTTCTTTTACTTCTTCGTTCTTCCTCTCCTCTTACATTTCCTTTCAAGACATCCTTATCTCTTTTACTTGTCTTTTCACTTCTTCTTTTTCATATTTCATTTAACTTCTTCCTCCTTCCTCTTATCTGCTATCAAAACATTATCTCACTTAATGCACTACTCATTTTCGAATGCAAGCAGACATTGCCATCATGTTTACTTCCATTCTGTTAACTATGTGATAGGGCCATTTTACTCATTGGTGTCATGTTGTATACGTTTCGTACTTTTTTATTTTATAGTTTAGGACTGTTGCAATAAATTACTTGCTACTGGACGCTTGTTCATTCATCCCTGCCATGTATTGATTTCAAATAGGTTTTTTTTTCCTAGGACGCTTGGCATGAGCCCGGAATTGTTTTTCACATAACTTTAGGCTAGACCTAGGGGTTGCGGCATTATCACTTAGATAAAATCCATTGGTGACTTGGCGGGAACACTAAACACTAAGTAAACACCACCAGCTCGACCAGCTCGCTCCCCGATTTCTACTAGGTTAGAAATGAGAAAAGTAAAATGTTTATGTAAATGTGGTAGTTTATTGTCATTAAAATTGGCACTTGCTAATACATCACTTCATAGTCCAACACTCAGTAGTATGACCCTGCCATAAATGAGTCATTGACCGATGCCTGTACTATAGTGGAATTAGATTTAAGTTTTGACAGGAGTCAAGCGTCATTCCAGTCGTGGTTAACACGCTTCATTGGGTCCAATGCTCATAGTCATGCAGGGAAAAATTACATGGTGAGCTTTGCTTTGTTATTTCTAAGCTCAAGTTTGATGCATTATAACTGGGCCCAGCTGTTCTTGGTCATTGGGCTTTGGATAAATAATAATAATCCTGACTTAAGAACCAGCTAATATTATTCAGTAAAAAGGTTTAAAGATTTATTCATTCATCCTTCAGTCATATTCGACTTAAAATAGAAACCTTAGCTGTCAGAGGTACAGTTGTCATAAATTTCTAATCTAATCTAACCTTTATACAACTTAAGTAATAAACGTAGGCCCTTATTCAATGCGAAAAAGAGGTTATATCATGAATCATGAACACAATTGACAATAACCATTCATATGCAGCCAAATCCTACGCAGGAGTAAACAAACTAAACCTAGTTGGGTTTTGTATGCTATAATCGTTGCTATAATTTTAAAATAATGCCTAAACTTGTGAATTAAAATTCTGTACATGTTGAGAGTATCAAAACATTACTTTTATAAATTTGTATACTATATGTTAGTTTTGACATTTCAGTAATCAAAACTTTTTGGTAACTAAAACCTCTCAGACGCAAAAGTATCTTATTATGGAGAGCCAACCAAGCCTCTTGAATTTGGATTATAGAGCTTCTTGAAGCTGTAATATAACAAAAACATTGATAGAACTTTGCTGCTTCTTCATTTTGCTTTACCACATAACTTCCAAAAATCTCATTGTTTTATTTCATCATCGAGCCTTTCGTATCTAATGAAATGATGTGCTCTTAATTGGGAAAATCCTATTGTGTTAAAAATATACCTTCAATATTATATTTAGGCCAGTGGTGTGTGTGGTTGTTAATTTTCCAGTTTAGAAATGCTCACTGTTGCCGCATAAAAATATGTGTTGCTTATCAATATTAAATAGGTTCTTTGGAAAAAGCAGAGTCGTACAGTGATCCCACATGTTCTCGCCCCACTACACCACTGATTTAGGCATTTGTATTCTGTATAGGCATATGTATAGCCTGTATTTGCATAAGACAAAATTAAATAGAGGTAACTTATGTGTTTGCCAAGCCTTCTATATTTGGTTTTAACAATAAATCATTTTTCTTTTATTTAGATCCGGAGAAAAAGGCTCTAAACTCGGATGAATCGTTCAATATTTTACTTGTGCAACAAGGTAAATAAACTAAACTTTTGAGGTTAAGTTATATTTTGTATGATTTAATAAATTATATATAAAGTATGTATTGTTAATAACTACTTTTTTTACCTACCAAAAATACTGTTGTGGAACGTGTGTTGGCATTTGAATTAATGATATGCACAGTGCATGCCTATAAATATCCACAATTAGTGACCTCCTATAATAAAATGAATTACAGACAACGCCACCGTCCCAGTCTTGTTATTACGGCACATGATTCTTTTAGGCTTTGAGTAGTCCATTCTGTCAATGGATCTATGAAACTAGTTCGTTTTATCCAATAACTGGAATAAATATGGGGGCAAAAAGTCTCCTGCACAGCAGAGTTTCTTTTTGGAGTGAAAACCTTCTATTGAAGGATTAATTTGAAGATAAGTTTCTTTGATAAACCAACAATTTGGTGTATTAGGATAACAATGCCAAGTTGGAAACATCCAATTTAGGAATCCAAGTTGTCCATGTACTCCTTAAATGACAGTGAACTGAAACAAACAAACTTGCAAGCCATTTATGAGACAAGATAGTAACAATGTTTTGCAAAAACAACTCAATTTAGAACAAAGCTCCAGATGTTTTGGATATAGTAAACATAAGAGAGGAAACCAGCTGTGTTACAGTGCTGCCAACATAAATTGGGAAAGTAAAAATGTCGGGTAACTGCTAAACTAGGTTGAACATTACCAGAAGGAATCCAAATTCTTTATGTGTAATATCTGCTCGTTTCTGATCAATCTGTCTGTTGATTATAGATATTTCTGATCAATTTAGTAAGTATTTGGAAACACTTGTCTTTGATAATTTGGAATTAAGATTCTTGTTTTAAATAAAGCAATAAAGCATTCTTGAACGTTTTCTCATAACCTGCTTATAAAATTTCAAAAATACCCTGCCACAGTAAACCTGTAGATGAAGCAGTTTCCAGATACAGTACTTCTTTAACCTTGTACAGTACTGAAAATGTTCATTTAAAAGATGGAATTTTTACTTTTTCCACTTCCAGGATAAAATTACACAATCTCAAAGAGTATTCTCTTCTTTGCTAAAAAATAATGTTGTTTTGGTTAAATATTATATACATTCAATGAAGTAAAAATGTTGGTAAGATCAAATAAATATGAATGGCCCTAAGAAATATTTGTCAATAAGGTATGGGAGACAACGTGCTGTTAGCACTTTGCAATTAAATTTACTTTAATAAATTTGCTAATCTAAATATTTAAAATATTTTTTTGAAATAAATAAAAAATTTAACTCGTTGGTAGATTACTTATCTAATTCCTTCATTTATTTACAGATATAAAGAATGTAGGTTAGCCACCACTATTGAGCCCTTGGGACAAAACTGTTGTATAATATGTAAAGTTACAGGTGCCAAGGGAAATTAACCTAGTACATAGCACTGTCTGTATACATGAGCTTGGTACTCTCCTCTTGTAACAAAATGTGAAAACTAATAAGCATTACAGTATCACTAAAATTGTTGTTAGAACTTAACAAGTATGCTTATTCATAGTTGTGAAAGTAAACGTAAAAACAATTTTTCCAGAGGTAGACATTACGAGGATTTTTATAGCAGGGTGGAACAGCCTGTGTTACGATCAGCCTTTACACAGCTTGGTTGTAATTGCTTACAACCTTGTATGGCTTTAGAAAAATAAATTTAACTTTCCAGTTACAGTAATGAATCTACAGATTTAAACTTGTATTTGTTAGAAAAGAAATTAATTGTATGTTCTCTGCACCACCACTGTATGTGCAATTGTGGAACTAAAGTACGAGTGAAAAACCATTGGTTTGTAATTAATGTGAATATACATAACTGCCTGTATTCCCTTATTTTGGTTCGGTATTGTAATATTGTTATGGATTGTTGACTGTTTTTTTTTTTTTTATGTAAGTGACACGGTAACTCTTGAATTTGAGAATTATTTCATCACATCAGCCTTATAATAATGAGTTTTCAAGAACATACAGGGCGGCTGAATAAAGTTGGAAAACATCCACTTTTCAGTGACAAAATGTTCAATCTATGGTTGGGTTACTGTTTGGGGAGCGAGCTGGTTTAGTGGTTAGAGCGCGGGACTCCGGTTCCTGGGGTCCCGGGTTCAAATCCCGCCAAATCACCAATGGATTTTATCCAAGTGGTAAAGCCTTAACCCCTAGGTCTAGCCTGAAGTAATGTGAAAAACAATCCCAGGCTCGTGGCTAGTGTCCTAGGAAAAAACACTGTGTTGGTGACCAAAATGGGTTTATAGTTAAAACAGCGCAGGGCCACAAATTTTTCTGAGTGTTTGTATAACTGAGACTCCTGTGGTATAGGTCCTCCGTCGTTTTGTAATACTGCGGCCCAGTAACATTTCGGCCCGAAATCCTGAGATGAGGCCTGCGGTCCAACTCTACCTGCTCGCTAACAGTAACACTTTGTCCCAAAAGGAGTGATACTTGACAGGTATTCACTAACTATTTAGGAGGATAGTAAAAAACTAACAACACTTAAAAACTAACAAAAGATTTAAAATTGACTCCCCACACACTGCATTCCGCAAGGCTTTGTCAAATATAACTCAACTAAAATTTAACCAATTTCCACATAAGGTTAGGTGAGTTAGACCTCACTCTTAGGAATAACATTAAAATTTGTAACGTCTTCCCTCGTAAACAAAGGGGGTTGGGGGGTGAGCTTCCACCGATTCCAAAAGGGTAACGTTGGGTGGCATTCCCTCACAGGGTGGTTGCAAAGTATACATGTCATCGGCCTCTTAATACCTGAACTGCGTTCCTCAACCCTGGTTAATTTTTCGTCGGGCCGAAATGTTACTCCATTAGCTTATTTAATCAACTGTAAAAGCGAGTGGGTTGAATTGTTACTGTTTTTCTATGAAATTTGTGTTTGGCTGAAATGTTACTGGGCCGAAGTTTTGCTAAACCATTAAGCCTATCTAATCAAATAAACTTTGTAGCCTTTAATAGACAACTTTGTTATACAAAACTCTTCAATGATTTATTATTTAAGTAAGTTATAAAAGTAAATTCCCCAGAGTAATTTGTCTTCATGATGATTGATACAGGGTTTTTGTCAAATGAAAAGTCTATATTCGTGTCCATCCAACCTGTATTCAAGTATGGGCTATACTGTAGTTTTATAAATAGGTATGGGAAAAAAGAAAATAAAAACTGTCGACATTAATGTGCATTAAAATTGCAACACGATAAAGACAGCACGATTTTTCAGTTCCAACAAATTGAATTTGTTTGACAAATGCTATTTTGGTTTTTAGCTAAATAAATAAAGATTTGAATTTGAAATCATGCAAAACTTTAAGTAATAAATATTAAGCTAAGCTAAACCAAGAACTAGGTAACCGTTTTCGTTATCAAGTTTTCAGTTTAACTTATAAATTAGTTTCAAACCTTAAGAACGCTAGTTAAACTTTGTTGAGCGTTATACCTTACGAATAAAATACCGTTTATTAACCAGTCACAGAATTGATTACATATTTTAAATTTCAGTTTTCTGTGTTATAAAATGCAATTGTGTTTCGCTTGCCTTCGTAACAACCCTGTTGCATGTTTTTAAGCATATTTTAACTCTTTTACGAGCGTTTTTCGTGACCATAAACAACTAACTTTAACAAAAGAGACATCTATGAACCAGTTATATAGTTTTCACAAAAATATATAATATTAGACCTTTATAAAGCGTGCCGCTAAGTTTATTTCTCATTGTTGCTCACACTACTGTAGTTTATAAAGGGGTATTAGATTATATAGTTAACAATGAGTTTCCCTTTTAGTTTACGTCATAACTGGAAAATTATTAAAAATTCTTTAAAAAAAATATTTATACAGCAGCTTTCAGCAGTGGCACAATTGAATTTACATTATTTTTTGTAAAACTTGTGAATAAAATGTTTACTTCGGTAGTATCAAACCCTATTAAACCTATCTGTTAACACTTTAAATTTCCCAAAAATATACACATGAACTCTATTCCTTTAATTGTCACTCATAGTTATTCGAAGAAAATAAAATACAAATACCAATGTTGATGATGCAAAAATGTTCTTGGTCAATTTTACGATTTTAAAAGATTAGCTATAAAACTCTAAAGTAACATTTTCAATCTTTTAAATCGCATAGCCCCTTTGCTTTTCCCATCTATACAATAACAATTGACTTTGCACTATTTCCGCCACCCCCAACAAAGCACATTAAGTGACAAAGGGATGGTTTTTGCCACAGGGGGTGGCTCAGGGTGGCACTACTGATTGTTTGCGGACTATTGTAAACACCCAAGGGCTGACCATCTGTCTGTACTGTAACATTGCTGCCAACCTATCTGTTAAACATTAAAATTCCCACATTAGTAAAAAAATTTAAAATTATGTAAAAGTATCTACACACTACTAGTTTATTTTCTGAAACCACAGATAAATTATATAGGCTTATTCATAAACTACAGTATAATAACTTTACTAAAAGTTATATTTCTTTTTTACAGGTCTAATTTCTTTGATCTAGGTTTGAAGTAAAAATTAATATGTCAAGTTTTGTTGGACTTTATAACCAAAATAATTATTTGTACAGGCTTCTGTGTTAGTATGGAAATTAAATACCATAGATTACTATGTGTCCTAGAATATCCCAATTTCATACAATCGATGACATCTGTTTCGCCAATCGCATAATCCATTAAAATTTCGAGTACTACCCTATAACCCCCCCCCCATTCATCCCCCCCCTAATAGTGACCCTATAGCGTTTGCTCGTGGTTGGTATACTTACTTTAATACTTTTAATATGAATTTTTATAAGCAACATACAATTATATCATATCCTTCTTTCTAAAGTGATTTCAAGACTAAAAATAATAAACTCTCAACCAGTCCATTGTCAGTTACCAAGTGATTTTTCATAGAAACATTTCGTCTTGGAAAGCGCCTTACTGAAACCTTTTGTCCCAAGTTGGGATGAATAACATTTCCTTTCAAAGGCTTTTACCTGAAAAACAAAAGAAGTTAAACAATGAGGAACTAATGATCTTCGATATTACTTTTGATATCAGCTGATTATTATCTTTCTAATGAATAATCGGGATTTTTTAAAGTCATAAAGCTGGAATATTCTCCCGAACCCATTAGTAAAATGTTATAAAATTTTTACGATTTTTTGAACAGCTTGAAATTTATTTAGCAAGCTGAACAGCATGCATTAATCAAACGAACCTTACAACGTACAGTTGATGTTTATGTAACAAAGTTTCATACAAAATATCATTCATGAGCACCCGAAGAACTCAAATTAAAATAAAACCAAGCAATGTAAGAATTATATTGCTCGATTATTTCAAAATGGATAAAAGTCCCTTGTTTTACAATTCAAAATCAAGAATCAATATTTTTATTCCGTTAGACATGTACATGCATTTGGATACGTCAATAAGGTTCATTACATGCTGCAAAAAACAAGTCAAAGATAAATTACAGTACATAAACAAATCAGGCATTGTACAGAAACAAAAGGAATTGATAAAATAGAAGAATTACCTTATCCAACCACAGTAGCTGGTATGACAACTAGTATTGTTCCTTAGAACATCGTCAGGTCATTGTATGCAACCACATCCAAAAACCATCCCTTTTGGGGGTGGCTGAAAAAGTAAGTTGAGTGGAATTGTTATTGTATGGATGGGAAAAGCAGGGGCTATGCGTTTTAAAAGATTGAAAATGTTACATTGGAGTTATATAACTTTAAACTTTGAAAATCGTAAAATTGAAAAACATAGTGAAAATAATCAAGATATGCCTATGCTATTTTTTATCTACAAAATTTATATTTGTATGTTTTTCGAGTTTTTTTAGAACATGGTACCTAAAAGATCACAACATCAGATATCCAGTTTTGCCGAACATTTAATATCAGAATCACACAGCTACACACCTATTGATAAGAACATGAAAATAGTTGAAGTATTACCAAAAAGTTTTAAGCTTGATGTTAAAAAAGAATTCACCATCTACAAAGCTATTAAAAAACTCGACCCATTCAACATTTTAAATTATCAGACTTCCTTCCAGTCAAATATTATATTTGATACATATATTGACAAGCTACAAATCAAAGAAGTATCAAATAAGAAGAACAAAACAAACTGAAATACAGGTGGCACTGGAGAGATGAAGATGAAGACACTTCATGATTCAGTCAGTTAGTCAGTGACAGTGATAAGACAGTGCTGGCCAGCCTTTACAGTTTTAACCATTTTTATAACTTTTTATTCAATTTTAATAATGTGATCAACATGACTAGTTTTTACTTTTGTGATTCTGAGTGTTTTAAAGAATCTTTTGACTTACCACAATGTATTAATACATTGATGATGTGGTTGCATACAATGACCTGACGCCTGACGATTTCCAAGGAACGAAACTAGTTGCCATACCAGCAACTGTGGTTGGATAAGGTAATTCTTCTATTTTATCAATTATATATTCCAACTAAAGGGTCACAATGAATAACAAAAGGAATGTTTGGTTAGAAACGATTGCTTTGAGATCATATTGCTATCACGGGTAGAGATCTCGTTGTTCGTTGGTCAGAACATAAAACACACAGTTAAAAAACGAAAACCAAAACAAGAACTGGTAGAAAACATGATTGCAATTATAATGAATTCACGACGAGAATTCAGTTGTTATTTAAATCATAATCTTTTTAATTGATAACACAATATTATCCGTCGGAACGGTATCTTATACAAAAATTTGTACTTTTTACTCCCGAGTATTCTTTTTGTATCTTGTTTTTAAGTTAGGAATTTTCAAAAATATTTTAGATTAATTATAGTACTGTTTTGTAAACATTTTGGAAACAGAATTCCGGTTTCTGGATTTCAAAAATAAATTTCAAAAAGTTTACATTAACATTATTAGTGGAGGATGGCTTCATCTCCCAACTCCAAAACAAGACATTTTCCCGCGAGTACCCCTAAAGATCATCGGTCCCACCATAAACGACATTTATTTCACTTCACTATTTAAAAATTACCCCATTTTACCTCCTCCACGTTTTCGGGGTAGCGAGCTTGTCTAGTGGTTAGAGTGCGGGACTTCGGTCCCTGAGGTGCCGGGTTCAAATCCCGCCAAATCACCAATGGATTTTATATAAGTGAAAATGCAGCAACCCCTAGGTCTAGCCTGAATGTGAAAAACAATCCCAGGCTCGTGCCTAGCATCTTAGAAAAAAAAACCTCCAATTGAAAATCAACACAATTCCAAAATACAATAAATTCAACAGTTACTTCAACTCATTCGACGTTAGTTCCGCCTCAATAATACAATCAACACAATTGCCGCCGTACACGGGACTACCAACACAACCTCACCAAATCGATTGGGGTCTAGGGTGACACCACGAACTTCGCGCTGGGGGTTTGAAATTTTCAACAATCAACAATAAATGACTCCCTCCCCCTACACCCCCCGCGGCGCGCGCACGCCGCACTTCGTACCGCAGTGAGTCAGTGTCGTCCGCACCAGCACGTCGTGACGTGTCGCGTGTAGTGTCACCGCGTGTGTACGTCGATGTGTGTCACGTGGGATACGTGAATAACAAGCGTGAGTTTATTGTTTGTTATGAGTTGTAGTATAGCTACGTATAGTTTGGGTGGAGAGTGATTAGTTTTATGTTAACTGTGAGGTGATGTATTAGGCAATAGTGGAGGACTTAATATTGTAGTTTTGACTGCAGTGAGATCTTTTGATGAAAAGGTTTCAATATCAAATTAAAATTGACGTATCACAGTCATTGAAGTAGAAACCGACGAAAATAATTTTCCACAATATTGTGTGTTATCGCCAATCGCATCATAACTTCTATTTTAGTTCAAAGTCGGTTTTTGTAAGTATACAGTTTAAACAGTAAGATAACTACTCGTTCCCAAACATGCCATTTTGTTTGCAGGGACAAAACTTTGTGGAGAAATTTCCTATTAAAAATGTATGTACAGTACGGTATAACTAAACCTTTTTGGCGGGGGAGGTAAATTTAATGTCGGATTAACATGCAGTAATATTTTTTTTCAGAACTTTATCAGTATAATTTCCTTATGATACTAACCTAATCCGTAACTGATCTTTATAATTTTATTTTACCTCAGACTAAGTATTGATATACAGTATGGCCTTATGGCCTTCGTAAATGATGGATAATCAATGTTGGTAACTGTGTTACTCGGCGACGATTAAAACAATGATTAGGTATAAAACAATTCACACAAATTCACGAATAATTGATAACAGTCGGTGAAAGTTTGTTGAAAGCATTGAAATGGTGGTACAATAACCTTTATACACATTTAGACGAGTTTGGTTGAGCATAATGGAAAAATATTTATCATATTAAAGTCAGATGTATTATTAGTATTAGATTACTAAAATTTAACCCTAAATCCCTAATGATTTTTTGTTGTAAGTAAGTATTATTATAAGTTTTGCTCGGCGCTGATTAAACAATCATAAAACCGAGGGATATTTTATTTCCCACAGTTGGCATCCCTGAACCAACCCTTGTTTGGTTTTCGTAATTATGTTTATTCAGCTGATAAGTCCTTCGGTAACTTTCGCTGTTGAAACACCTCTTAAAATATCTCCTAGGATCTAAATAAGACTAAACAAGATCTGATTAATGCTTATTTATACATTCGCTTTCGATTAAATTTAGATCGTTAGTTTTCGACTATTCCGTACATGGATTTCACTCGCTTAAACATCGTGACAGGGCAGTTTCCTATGCTAGACACCTCACCAAGATTACTAGACACCACGCTCAGATTACTAGACACATTACCTAACTTAGATTAGCCTAAACTAACCTAACCGTAATCTGGGTGTGGTGTCTAGTAATCTAGGTATGGTGTCTAGTAATCTGAGGGTAGTGTCTAGTAATCTTGTTAATGGTGTCTTGTAATCTGGACGTGGTGTCTAGTAATCTTGGTGATGTGTCTAGTATAATAAACTGCCCTGACACGATGTTCAAGCGAGTTTTTCAGGGGTGGTGTCTAGTAATCTAGGCATGGTGTCTACAGGAAGTCTTGGCGACAAAAAGTCATTTGAGAAAGTTGTAGTGTTGGTGTCTAGGAACTGTTTAAAAACATCTAGGGCATTTTAGGTGAGCTGGGGAAAGTGAAAAATAACTATAACTAAATTGGTAAATTATATTTGAATGTATTTATAGATTTTTTTATGGGTAGGCCTAAGTTGTTAGATCTTTGGTGTTTACACGTTCAGAATGTTCGGTAGATTAGTTGCGTAGAACGTTCAAATCTACTAATTTTGTTTTAACCCGACCAACTATTGACTGTCAATTTTAAAATCAGTTTTAGTCAACTTCTTTTAGCTGCAACAAAACGTAACCTAGAATGAATTTTCTACTATGTTGTATCTTACATTACTAAGTTATTACGAATAGTGAGAATTTACTTTGATATTCAAATTGATGTAGCCTATTTAAGGAAGTGGATGGAAACACGGCGTAAAAATGTATTGCAAAAAAAGCACACGATTTTTCATCTAACTTTTCGAAACCATGTGATTACCATTTATAGAATAAAACATCTAAACTCTTAGAATAACATTATTCCTTTTAAATTCTAGGAATATATAGATTTCGTAAATAGCAAAATCCATAAATAAATTAGTTTACTGGTGATTAATGATTGAATTAATCAATTAATCAAATAATACATATACAGTAGAAGATATATTTTATTTTACACTTTTATTTACTTTCTTATAAACTTAACACTTTAGCCTTCAAACTTCCCGACGGAGTTTTAATCACAACTTTTAATAAAGATTAATAAAGTGATTAAAGTCAAACCTGGTTGATGGGATTTAATTAGTTCACTTCCTTGTACACCTGCAAGCACAAGGCAAGCAATTCTTGGCTTTCTACCTTGATTTGAGATTATCAGCGATCTTAGTTCCTTAAATATAACTTTTTGAAAAGCCCAAAAAGATTTTTGAGGCTAAAGAGAAGTATGTGAGGATAAAAAATTTAATTGTTCGTTTCATAATTTTGACAAAAGCTTTCTTGTAGGGTTACTTGTTACGATGGCCGTTAATTTGTTAGTATTTTAGTATAAAAATTTGCATTTTACAATAAGTAGTATTTTTTAATATTGGATAAAGGTAGTATTAAATGGAATGTTTGTTTTACATTAATGATGCAATAACTGTTACTACGTTGAAAATGCGTGGTGTTTTAAAGGTGCAGATTTTCGTTAGCAATTATATATAGCTCAGAGAGTCAGTAAAAATTGGTCAAACTATATCAATTTGTAAAACCATGCTGCAAACAAAGGTACGGTATTTTATCTTGAGATATTTTACGAAGCATAAGTTTTTTTTTTTAATCACTACTGTATTTGTAGTAAAACTATAGGACGGAAATTTTTGGATTTCCAACAGTACCGGTTATGGTTATTTGAAGGGGCAAAAAAATCTATGTTTACTGTATTGTAATATTTGTTTACGACTTTTTTCGTTTGAATAAAGAACAAATGTGAGATTAATCAATTTTAATATAATAATTGACAAAACCGTTTTACCACCATGTAACTGTTACTAAGTAACTGTTACTTACCGAGCAACCACTGTGTTATAACCTAAAAATAACATGTGAACGTTTTGTCGCGGCTGTTTTACCTCTTGAAGGCTTCTTGAGAGAGAAGTGTTAAATTATTAACAGGCTCTTAAATAAAGAGGCAACTGAAAGAAGGAATTACTTGGAAGGCTTGCTCGGGAGTGAGGAGCGGGAAACTGTTCATTTTTAAACAAGCAGCTACTTAGACTCTGAAAGAAACGTGTAAATAAGCTGAGGAAAGAATGCACTGACGTAACTTGTTGAAAAAGATACAGGATTGAAATGTATTTGACTGAAACAAATAGAACAGTTACACGTATTTATTACAAACTTACAGGTTTTGCTACTTTCACTCATTGAGAAAGATTCATAATACATAATTACACAACAAGTCTAGTCTATATTTTTACTAATATTATGTGATTAATAATAAACGGTATCAGCAATCTGACACATACGTTCTCCCAGCTTGCCAACAATCTTTATCATGGGCTAGCGATGAGAGTATGGTATTTAATATGTAAAATCTCAAAAGTTGCATCAACTTTTGAACTGTAATTTTTACAGATGTGGAGAGATGTACTGTTTTGTTTAGAATTATAAGGACCGTATTAGACAAATTTAAATCAGGACCGGGGTTTTTTTTCGAAAAATCTTTTTTTTCCGTTTTATCATGGGTTTTTATGGGAAAATAAGTTACAATAATTTTTGAACCGTAACTTTTACAGCAATGGGGGTTGCTCTATGTCGTTGAGAATTATTATAAGGACAAATACTAATTTCATTAAAATCTGGTTTATTTTTGAAAATACGATTTTCTCTTATTTTATGGGGTTTGTGTGAGAAAATAGCATAAGTTACAATAACTTTTGAACCATAATTTTTTTAGAAACGGGAGTTCTACCATTTTGTACAGACAGACAGACACACACAGACAGACATCACTTCGATAACCACATTTTGGGTTCAGGGAGACCCAAAACGGACATATCCACTCAAAACTCAAACTCGTAAATTTAGGCGAAAACAATGCTTTCTCCATATTAGTAAACTGTATAATGAACATCACTACTGTACTATGCTTGTATAGGGGAGAGAGTAATAATACTTTTCCAAAACTATTAAAATCATAGAATTGGTAAAACATATCCTCAAAGTTTGCCTCATTTGTGTTTTCCCCCTTTTGGTCCCAGCGCAAGTAGCATTTTGTATGACAGTAACTCAAGAGCTATTTTATCTATGCCCTGATTGAACTGTTCCTCCTGCAATTCATCTCAAACGTAGATTTGATCATTAGGTATTCTTTTATTTAACACGTCTTAAAACAGTTCAATAACTTGTTTCACCACAGTTTGTGCTTCATTTTAACATGATAATGTAGCTTTCTTAGTCTGGTGTACATATTTTTTCAGTGATTTTCTCATATCGTACAACATAGCATATAATTTATACAATTCTTAGTATAAGTTACGTATTAGTTTTTTAAACAAATTCTGAGGGAATTATTTCCCATTCAGGTTCTAGATGGTGGATAAACTCAATTATCTCAAATAAACATTTAGATTTGGGCGCTCGGCCGCGTCTTCAGGATTTAAGAATTGTTTTCCTTACCAAGCATTCTATTTTCCTTGTATCACTTAGTTAAAACTTATTTATCATAACACTTATTTTGTTAATGAATTGGTATATAAATTTGTTATCGTTCAAAATTGGACACCGATGTAATTAAACATAAATTTAAACATATAAAATAGACATAATAAACATACTAAACATACTATACACCACAATACATAGAGACATTTAGGAAAATACTTATTCAGGCATATTTTTCGTTTTATCAGATATATATTTGAATATAGAGCTTATTCTGTAATCCATATTAAACATACATGATATTAAACATATCATTTACTATCCTACAAGCATCACAAACAGATCGTTCTAACAGACGACCTGTACATCAGGGAAG